CAAATAACAAAGTCCAGTATCAAAAACAGTTCAGTAACAGACTTACATCAAATCCAAGAATAACAGTCAATAGAGAAAAATGGAGGAACGGGCAACACTCTCCAGAAACAGAATAGAACAGGAACTCACTGAGACTAAACAATCCAGGTTTCTGGCTCCATCTTATGGCCATTTGGGGAACCACACCCAATTACATTTTTAGTATTCTCTTAATGACATAGTATTAAAATGTCTATCCTAGTTTATATATTTCCAACCCAAATAACTGTTAGGTGACTTACATTCCTAACACTAACCTCTATGATTATGGGGGACCCTACTGCCCAGCATTGCTTCATTTGCTTTCAAGGACATTAGCAATTTTCCCCAGCAGCACAGGAGGGCAAAGATCACTATGGTGGGAAGCATTAAGACATATGTGCTGGGACAGGGGCAGAAAGGAAGAGGACAAAGTAGGGGAAGGGTGTCATGCCCTTGTCAGAATCTGATTCAGAGGGGGAGGCTGAACGGCTGACAGGGAGTGGGAGTGTGGCTCCATTGGCTGTGGAAGAAACTGGGGAATGGCAAAGGCCAGCTGGGCAGAGCAAGGGAGAGGTAGAGCAAGGCAGAGGGAATTCAGAGGAAGACCCAGGTCCACCCCTCTTCATCCTAGGGCATGCAGGGAGGAATGGAGAAGGAAGCAATGTGAGCTGCATGGCTTATGGGGGAGGAAAGGGCCCCCTTCATTAGTGCAGCTGGGAAAACAGTGTTTAAAAAGGAAAGCTGCAGACAGCAACTTGTTGGAAGCAAATCATGAATTATCTGTGATTGTCAAGGCTTATCTGGGTTTATTCATTTATTATTTATTTGATTTATATTGCTGCCTATTCGCCCATGGTGACTCGAGGTGGCTTACACAATGGAAAATCATATTTAAAACAGAAGATAAAAATAAAAACAATAAGAACTAACAAAAAGAATCAAATAAATTAGTAAAGTACAGTAGAACAAAATTTGGGAAAACAAACAAAACAAAACCAAAACCCAACTCCCCCCTCACCTCGACAACAGCAGGTTACACTAGCCATTTGATGGGTTCCATCCCTCTCTGGGTTCCCCAGGCCCTCTGGCAAAACCAGGTCTTCAGTGCCTTTTGGAGTAGTATTAATGAGGGGGCCATTCTAATCTCTGGGCGAATGATGTTCTGGAGAGATAGAGCCACCACAGAGAAGGCTCTTCTTCTAGGTCCCACCAGGTGTATCTCCCTCAGGGGTGGGACCCGCAGCATTCCCTGCCTCCTCTCTCTAATGGGTTGGGTAGATGTCACTGGCAAGAGATGTTTCCTCAGATAACCCAGACCCAAGCCATAAGAGCTTTAAAGGTGACAACCAGCACCTTGAATTGCACCCAGAAGCAAATTGGCAGCCAATGCAGCTCCTGCAGGAGAGGTAATACATGTGCACATTGGGGTCTGCATAAAACCATACAGGCCGCTGCATTTTGCACCAACTGGAGCTTCCAGATGCTCTTCAAGGGCAGCCCCATGTAGAGCGTTTTGCAATAATCAAGATGGGAAATGACCAGGGCATAAGTGACTGTGAGTACGGACCGCTGATCCAGGAAAGGGCATAACTGATGCACAACCTGCAGTTGCGCAAAGGCCCTCCTAGCCACGACTACCACCTGCTCTTTGAACAGGAGTCGTGAGTCCAGGAGAACCCCCAGATTACGCACAGGGTCTGTTTGGGGTAGTGCCACCCCATCCAAGACTAAAGGTGGTAATTCTCCCTGAACCAACGAACCCCAGACCCAGAGCCACTCAGTCTTGCATGGGTTTAGTTTCAACCCGCTGCTTCCCATCCAGCTGCTAACAGCCTCCAGGAATTGCGAGTGGGAGAAAACAGCAACTCCATGGGCCGAGACATACAGCTGGGTATCATCAGCATATTGGTGATACCTCAGTCCATGGTGATGGATGATCTCATCCAACAGTTTCATATAAATGTTGAACAGGAGCAGAGAGAGTACCAAGCTCTGTGGAACCCCGTAAAGCAGTGAGCGAGGGTTGGATCTCTCCCCTCCTATTAACACTGACTGAGAGTAGCTGCAGAGAAAGGAAGTGAACACTCACCCACTCCCATCCCCTGAAGCCGTCCCAGGAGAATCCCATGATCAATGGCATCAAAAGTCACTGAGAGGTCAAGTAGAGCAAGGATGGATGCACTACCCCCATCCTGTTTTCACCAGAGATCATTCAAAAGTGCAGCCAATGCTGTTTCTGTCCCAAATCCAGGCCTGAATCCTGACTGGTAGGGATCCAGATAATCCGTTTCATCCAGAAACCTCTGGAGCTGCTGCGCAATCACCTTCTCAACAACCTTCCCCAAAAAGGGAAGATTGGAGACAGGTCGGAAATTATCCAACCGGGTGGAGTCTAGCGATGGCTTCTTAAGAAGAGGGCAGGCCACAGTCCTTAAAGTGCTGGGGCACCGTCCCCTCTTGTAGAGAAGCATTAATCACCGCCAGAGTCACCTCTTGGGAAGCTTTCACAAGCCAGGAAGGACATGGGTCTAAAATACAGGTGCCCGCACACATACTCCCTAGGATCCTGTCCACTTCCTCAGGAGCAACAGGGACAAACCATTTCCAGATAACAGGACAAGAACCTGCCTCAGAAGCTTCCACCAGTCAGCAACCATGTCGGCATCTAACTGGGAACAAAGTCGAGCGATTTTGTCTTCCAGAAAATCCGCAAAATCCTCAGGTGGACCTCAATCCGCAAATTCCTTCAGGTGGACCTCAATCTCCTTCTTCCCTAAGAGGAGATGGCTCACTTTAAGGGGGGTCACTGGGCGATTATCTGCAGATGCAATTAGTGTGCAGATGCAATTAGAAGTATTTACACTTCGGCTCATGAATTGCCACAAGGTAGGCCTTAGTAGCAGCTCTTACCCGTGTTCGATCGAGTTCATCTCCTGTCTTCCACCAGTGGTGCTCTAGACATCTCCTCATGTGTTTCATCCCTCTCAGTTCTTTTGTATACCATGGGGCACAGAGAGTTCTACGGGTGAGGAGAGGTCGCAAGGGTGCAATCTTATCCAGGGCCTCAGTCACCTTCCTATTCCAAACAGTGACTAAGAGCTCGGCTGGATTGCATAATAGATCTGTAGTTATAACCCCCAACTCCTTCTGGAACCTATCTGGGTCCATTAATCAATGGGGACGGACCAATCTAATAGGTCCTGTCTCCCTGCGGGGGGATGCAGCTTTTGAGAAACTCATTGCCACCAGACTGTGATCTGACCATGACAAGGGGACCATGACCATGACAATTGGTAGAGGTCTGCCAATTCGAGGTCACATAGACACTGCTCCAACAAGAACACCAAATCGGGATTGTGACCACTATTACTAGTCGGGGTCTGGATAATCTGGGAAAGGCCCATGGAAGTCATGGTTTCTATAAAATCACAGACTACCTCCGACCCCAGGCCCCAGAGAAGGCAGGTTGAAATCCCCCAAAACTATAAGCCTGGGGAATTCCACTGCCAGTCCTGCAGTGAGGTCCAAGAGCCCAGGTAGAGAAGCTGTCACACAGCAGGTAGGCTGGTATAGCAGCAGCAATCCCACCTGATCCCTTGAGTCCAATCTAAGAAAAAGGGTCTCACAGCCGGAGACTTGTTGAACAGTGCCTCTGGAGGCTACTAGAGATTCTCTGATAACAACAGCCACACCTCCTCTCCGACCCTGAGCTCTAGACTGGTGCCATGCTCGATAACCCACTGGGCACATTTCTGCAAGAGGGACGCCTCCCTCTGGGCTCAGCCAAGTTTCAGTTATACAAGCCAGATCAGCCTTCTCTTCAAGGATAACATCGGCAATAAGGCTAGCCTTGTTGCAAGCTGATCTCACATTTAAAAGCAGAAATCTAAGACCAGGGCCACCACAGATCTGCTGACCAGGAAAATGAGGTGAGTGCAATGGGGCAGAACATGAGGTTCCTGGCATCTTCCCAACTGTGTGTGTTCTGTTGGCCTTTCAAGTCTGCAATTCCTTATTCTGCCCTGTCAAGTTAATTGCTGCAAAGTGGTTTGTATGGATTTTTATTTACAGTTTTTATGTACTTAGTTTTGGGACTGAATTTCTTCCACTTAAAGACTGTTCTTGGGAGAGTTTTTTCTCCAGCTGAAGATAACTGGGACACCAGGGGCAAACTTGAAGGTATTAAAGGGACTCTTCTTACTTATGTGACTGTGTTGCCTTTGTGCCATGCCCCCGGTCATCACAAAGGGTCTTTCCCTTCTCTCTCAATAACACGATAAACAGCAGCAGAAATCATACTTTCATTTGAGGGCAGTGACACTCCATATATTCTCCAGTCTCCAGCAGAGGAGAATGCATCTTCATGATATGAGAAAGGCCTCATAAATGCCTTATTCAGTGGCTATGTGAAGAGAAAGTTTGTACTTGAGGTTCTTCTATATGACAGTCAATTCATGGTCAGCCAGGATTCTTTTTTTTATGTGGTTGAGCCCTTCAGATATACACAAAGCAGAACATTCATGTGAGGCTCTTTCACCTTACCCTTACAGGCTGTAGTGGAATAATTCCATGATTTCCTCATATGTATTTTCATTGGATATGGAAAATTATGTGATTATCCCAGCTATTTTTGCATTTGTTCTTGTTTTGAAAAGTAAACAAAATTGAAATATTTAATCCAAAGATTCTGTGTGTCATCTTTTGATCTTGAAGGCATGATGTCTCTTCAAAAAGATCTGACAAGGATTTTTTTTTTGAAGCTCAACTTGTACAGCATAGAATAAGCCAGACATAATAGCTTGATTTTGGAGGATGTGCTTGATTAGATATAAAAGTTCCAGATTTTGCCCTAGCTAATCATTCTGCTATTTGTCCACTACCAAACATAGATATTACCTGAATCATCAAAAGAGATATTGTAGTCCATATAAGAAGCATTTCTAGTCTCCTTTTTTTGTAATACATTGTTTTCTCATTAGTGGTGTTGGATGACAGCAAACGACTAGCAAAAAGAAAACTGATTGAAGAAAATCGGGAGAAAAGACGTCGAGAAGAATTACAGAAAACAATAGGAGTGAAACCTGAACCAACTGATGAAGAATGGGAGCTTATTAAAATTGTTACAGAAGCACATGTGGCCACAAATGCACAAGGAAGTCACTGGAAACAGAAGAGGAAATTTTTGGTATGTACTACAACAGTTTAAAGCTGCCTTTTCCTGTCCAGATGAGCTCCGTGGTGAAAGTACACATCACAGTAAATGTACTTGCTGAACATTCATGGGATGGATTTTTACCATTTTGATGGGAATAAAACCTAACATCTATATTGTAGGATGAACATAGCTACAAATAAGATCTCAAAATCTTTCCTCCAAACTGAGGAAAGCAAATTTTAGCTCATCCACTTGCATTTATCACCCCATTCACTGCCACCCTTGAGCTCCTGCCAGATGTAAATGCCACCTTAAGCTGTCAAAGGTTTGAACGGTAGGAGTCCATTGCCCTCTATGTCTGAACTGTATGAAGCATGTAACGATCCTGCTTAATGTTCCTTGATATACTGGCCCTCTGTTCATTTGTTTAACTGTGTTTTAATACTACCTGTACTAGTGCATCATATTTTAAGGCGCAAGTAGTAAATTAATAATACAGCATACTTACTATATGGAGAAAAGAGTTTTGTTGTACCATGCAATAATTAACACAATAAATTATGAACACATGGTTATTCCTCACATAGTTATTGCAATAAGTGAACAAAAATCCTTAACAGTAATCATCTGATAAAACTCCATGGAAATCACCGATGTCATTGGGACTATCATAGCATATGGACTGTTATTTTTTTATATTCTTATGCCAAGTTCTAGTATTCAACTATTCTATTTTAATAGAGACTAAATATTACAAATTATCATCCTTATCCATTTTATATTTTTAACTTGATGTTATTTTCAAATTATAAGAGCTCTTCCTACAGGAAAAGGGTTAAGTTTTGAATAATGGTAGAAAAATATAGGAATCATCAATTTGTTACTTTAAAAAAAAGAAACATGTTGTATTACAGGAGCTTTCAAGCATTCCAGAGTTTCCTCTGTTAGATGTTGGAGATAATTTTAAACCAACTGAGGAAACTTTTTTCAGTCAAAGGTCCACAGTCTTTTGATTCTAGAGCAGGATAAAAAAAATGGCTAGAAACAATATTAAAGAAAACTAAAATTACATTAATTGAAGTTTATGCTTTTATGATTATTCCCAATTTATTTACAATTTTTCCTCCTATCATAGTAAAAACTATAATTCAATAATACCTCTGAGGTTGTGCATCTTCTAAATTAAATGGACAAAACTAAGACAATATAAATGGTTCTAGTCACTTTTAGGAAATCTTTGAAAAGTAAGAAATGAAGTGTAAATGTTCAAATTACAATAATTTTCACAATGATTTTCCTACATTAATTACATTAAAATGGGACAATAGCAATAGGTTATTTTGCTCCAGAAAGTAGAATCTTAATTATATTAAATTATGAAAAGACAGTTTCCAGTTGACTGTTACAAAATGTTTTCCAATGATGAGAGTTAATTGATTGTTGACTAATTAGTAAGACACTGGTATGCTGCACTTCCAATGGCCCCATCCATGCAGCTCCTTGCCCTGAATGAAGACAACCCATTATTTCCGAAGCATATGTACTTAAGCAGTACAATATATCACCAGCCCACAGTGAAGGCAGTACAAATATCCTTTTTACTTCAAGGGGTTTTCCCTGCTATCTAAATTCAAGATCTTCCACCTGCAAAATCATAGTGCATGAAGAATGCTAGGACATGTTATAGCACGAAGCAGCTATCTACTTGGCTTCAAATTCTGTCTCATTGACTGGACTGGTTTGGTTGTAAGGGACATCAGAACTCCAACTTTCACTGTCACTCTATTTTTTCTGTTGTAACTGATCAGGTAGACATGGAGAATGGGAAGCCCTAAAATTATTACCCCATCCTTGGCTAAATTAATTTAATTGGAACTGTAATTGAAAATATGTGACTGTTGCATTTCTTTGGCCTATGAAATGAGGCATTTTCTTTCTAGTGGATCCTGATCCGAAGAAAGCCCTGGTCCTTTATTTCATTTTTTCACATAATATTCTTAAAATACTTTACTGTTCCTAAACCAATTACCAGAGCAAAATCTTTGCTCAAACTTCATTTTACAGCACTTAGATGGCTGCCAAAACCGCACACGGATACACACAAACACACACACATCTATTTGCTGCCCCCAGTGGTTTATCCATCAACCCATATTAATAAGGAATAAATCATTCCATCAATAGTATAAAAAGGACGTAGGAAAAATAGTAGTCCATGGAATAACCGGTGCATGTCGGTTAGAAGAGTTAATTTAGAGTATTTGTTTAAATAATTTATAAGAGTTTCTTATTTTCATCTAATTGTAAAATCATACAACACAGAGAGATATCTATCACACAAATAAACAAATACACTACATATAATAATTTAATATCGGTACTAATAGCTGTCAATAGCAATATCAGAAGAAAACTGGATAAATCATTTTTTATTAGGTGACATAATTTCTATGACTATAAAGTTAGTTCTCGTCTTTCAATCTTTCATTTAATGACCTTCCAAAGTTATTACAGCTCTGAAAAAGGATATTTATGATTGGTCTTACTTACTACAACACTGTTTCCACAGTCATGTAATCAAAATGTGGCAATTTTGGCTTTTGCAGTTGACATTAATTTATGACAGCTGAGGCATCTGGGTCACATGATCACCATTTGTGAGCTTCCTAGGAGGCTTCCAACAAGCAAACTTATTGTGGAATCTGGATTTACTTAACGACCATGTGATTTGCTTAACAACCACAGCAAAAAGGATGGAAAAATTGGGCACCACTTACTAAACAACTGCATTGCTTAGTGACAGAAATGCTAATCCCAATTTTTGTAAATTAAGTACTACAGTTTTAATTCATAGATACTGAATGTTAACACCAGAAAGCTTTATGGGAGCTTTTTTATGTGCTGAAACATAGTGAAAGTATACATATCCATGAAGTATGCAGAAAAATTTTTGAGATAAAAATAAACAGTAGGCTCTATAGTAGGTAGTTGACTACTTCTAAATAGAAAATTCTGTGTCAGGTAACTATCAGATTCATCAATAGTGTACACTATTTTTATTTTCTTTTGATTGAACCTACATCTCACATGGTTATGTATCAGCTTCTTTATTAATTTGAACTAGACAATTGTTTGAATTTGGATTCCGAGTACATGAATTCTAAGCAAAAACACATCTAGTGCTATTCAAGTGCAGAAATTACCTTTGAATTGAACTCTGCTAGTAAACAAAAACTTAATCAAGCAATGAAATTGTTTGTTAATAAATACTTGAAATTTCAGAAGGATCCTTAAGGCAGAAAGTGAAGTTGCACTTCTGGTCAATCCTGAAATCCCATATGGAATAGGAAATTGGATCTAGAGCATCTAACCAAAACATCCTGTTTAAGGACATAATACTGGCTATGAATAAGTTGGAAGAGTA